TGTTGATCAAATTCAGTCATTCTCTTCCTCATCGGGGCTAACCCTGAACCCCAGTAAATGTGTTGAGTGTTTATATAGTTTGCTCGCTCCCCATATCCGACAAACCCCTTAGTGATCCTTTATCCAGGATCAACTCTGTCAAATATCTTGGTGTAACCATAGATAGCAATCTTCATTGGTCTACTCACATCCAAAACTGCATTGGTAAACTGTGGTGTCCATCTTTTCAAATCCGAAAGTTCAGGCAGTTTCGTGCATCACAGTCAGTTACTTCTACCTTTGTTTATCAGTGTGTTTTCCCCATCTTACTCTATTGTTCCGCAGTCATTTTTCCTGGCTTACTCAAACTTGATTTTAAAGTCTTACGCCGCGGTCTAACCATTATCAGTCGTGTCTCTTCTATTCCTGTCAATGAGTTAGCTTTAAAGCTTTCAGAGTATCATGTAACTTTCTGTGTGAAATTTGCTGAGAGGATTCTCACATATCCTGACCACCCATTGCACGCAGAACTGACACGGTGTCGTTCCCTTTATTCAACACGCTCCCAATTCCGCCAAATTTAATCTCGAATTAACGCTTACCGTAATTCAGCTATACCGTGTCTTGCTCGTGTACCCATAAACAAAGAGCGGACAATAAGTGAACTTTGTCTTAACCTTGGGTTATGAAATATCTTCATGCCTGTGAAAAGTTTTTCATAATTTGCTATGTACATTGTGATGGTTAGTGTGTATGATTTTTTAACTGAAATATGAGCTCCAGCAAAAGTTATGTAGAATACAATACAATATTAACGGATCCTACAGAAATTCATGTTCCATTATTTGGAGCTCTACTGCCACTCTGAATTCGACCAAAGCTTCGTACATGCATGTAAAGTGCTGGGTCACTTTTACATACACAAATTACCGGTTGTCAGCTGTTCATTAGTGATGGACAAGTAATGAAAGTTATCTTCCTCTATAGCTGGTAAGTGCATCATCTACAAGTGATTCCCTCTTACCCACACTCCAGCTGGTCTAATAATGGGACACATTCGAGGGATTTCCATCCAGGCTAAATACAAGGGTTATTTAAAGGAAACATCATAAGTTAAAAGTAGTTTGGTATGCTACGAAGAAAACTCGTTGCTCTTTTTCAAGGCTTTTAAGTCACTTCGTGTGATTCCTCAAGAGTCATTCCCCAGGATGCTACCGCCGAAAGGAAATTCACGAAAGTAAGCAGGAATAGTGTGAAATCAAACTGTAGTGATTCTGTTTAGTACTGTGACCGAGTTCTCAAATAACCTCAAGTATGCCCTCAAAATTGTCCTATACCTTGTCCGTGATTCACGACCACCACATTGCCCGGTCATCCTGGCCTAGTCCCAGACTGCATGCACCATTCTGATAAAGATGAACATCCGAAAAAGTTTTCAAAATGATAATTTTGTGTGCCTAAAAACACTGCTTTCCCGTCAGAAATGTGAATACAGAAGTCGGAAACACAGATCTGCGCAATATATCCATTGTTTCGGCGCAGCGAAATGACCATAGAGACCGTGTGCAAACCCATACTTCTGACTTCTCTCTTCAAATGTTGAATGCTTTTGTCTTGGAGAGACTGTACTTTGACATGTGAAGTTTCGTGCCTTTGTGACCTAACCAGCTACACAAGACGGCATCCCCAAAGTCAAAAGACTTTGTCATGCATAACGGGTAGGAGGGTAAATATCAGGCTGAACCTAGTTTCCTGGCGGTCCAAGTTGGGGATTTAACTTGGATTGCTGTCTCATTAGGTAAGGTGGAGTAATAATGCATTTTACTCGCGGTCACGTGATTGTCAGAACGGAAGACACAAATCATTCAACTGCTTATTAATTGACCTCTCCAACGGTTTCCGTTCATCAGACTGTAATAAACACGAATTAAATAAGCTAAATTATCAATATGCACTCGTATTATGGAGACATATTGGGTAATTTTTGAGTTACGGTAAAATTGTTCGTTTAATTGGAGTACTTGATTCGGTTGATAAAAATGTCTGACTGAAAGATCGATTACAGGATGTTACAAATAACTGCCCTCCGTATTGTCCACTGCAATAATATGCTTGATCCTCACTTTGGCGTCGAATCAACTTGATTTGTCTTGGTTTCACACAACTAAAATCTGCTTATCGCAGAAATTTGCACCTCCTACGAAGTTGGCCTGATGGTTGTGCCTAAAGCTCTTTTGCCTCTTGCGCTTCACTGGAACCCGAAAGCCCGCTGCTAGGCTTCTCTCCGTAGACCGAGTGAGATATCGAGTGCCGCAAAGTCACCACATCGCAATGAACAGAGCACCCTAGGCTATTCACCCGGTTCATGCACAATCGGGTCCATGTAGGTTCTTAGGCTGCGTACCAGGCGAACAGTCAGTCAGTAAAATTGTGCACCAAAGCCAGCCGTATCCACCACTCGCTGGCAGTTCTGAGGAATCAAGGAGTAAAACCAAGTTCACAAGTTGACAATTAGTTCGGAAATATGAGGTAAACAATCCACCTATACATAAGTGACCAAATCATTTTACAAGTTTGCCTTTGCCAGCTTTTGCAATCGGCACCAAAATTACAAGGCTTCTCGAGCTTTAGTAATCAGCACACCACAACAACTTATTATACAGAGGCCACTGAAGCCACCGCCTATCAGAAAGCTGCGTTACTACCATGAATCATGAATGCTTCCAAATGGGGTGCGGTAAATATTTAAGTACAGAACTCTACTAGTGTAACGTCTCTCACAATAGACTATAGTGCTTCGCTTTTGTTCGAAAACGTCTGTACACATTCTGTCTAGTGCTTATCGGTGTTGTGCAAAATGCATTGCTAATAATTTCTTAATTTCGGGCTAAAATGGTATTCAGTATAGTAAGGGCACGGTGTAACCGATTTTAGATTAAGTTGTTTCTGACTTTTCAGCTTCGTATATAATGTTGGCCTTATGGCAATTTCGTGGTGAAAAGATGCTATCTCAACCAGATTCGTTGTAAGGAGCCGCAAAAAAGTTGGGCATTTTACTTGGGTTACTGTTCAGGGCCATCAAGTGAATCGAACCCGCCGTGGAGAACATAAATACTACCATTTGCATAATAATCCACGTTATCTGACGTGCACAAGTTAAACAATATTTGATCCTTAAATACGACTGCTTGACAAATGCTTCTGATAAAATTGCCTTTCAGTTCACACTAGTCTTGCGGAATTTGAACAAGATCCAAAGCTACCATCTACCTCAATTTCTCGGATTTCATTAAGAGATTTTCGCCGGTGTGTGCGCATCACTATTCCCAATAAAATAGTCAAAAATTCATTCTAGCTGAACGTTAACCGATTGTTTTCTGAGATCCGAATCAGATGATTTGACGCATCCGTCGAGCATTCACGTGTTAAGGAGGCTTCCGAGAATAGATATACATGAGGGTAGGAACCGTTGTGTAAGATATTCTCTTGAGCATAACAATTTAATGTGCACTAATATGCAATTTACTAAATCTCAACATATTTCTATGCTCCATTTGCGACAGACTACCAGTTCATTGCATCGAAAAAACAAAAAACCTCTTCTAGTGCAGCAGTATTGAATGTACGTTCCATCAACAACCAGTCGATAGGCTAAAAACAGCAGATTATCGATATGTGTAACGTCAAATAAAAATATCACAACATTGTAGAGGAAGATAAATGAATTAAATTTAACCAATAACTGCTGCAGCACCCAAACGCGCTTCTGGATCACAGATTTTACAAGATCCACTCATGTGCTGTGAGTAGGTTATCTCTATCTTCGCAATCACTAAACTGAACAATACATACATCCCCCTTGTTTGCCTTCTGACATACCCCATCCTGATTCTACGGTTCAGAATGCCGACTCCTCAGCCAGACAAGTCCCATGTGACTAAGGAGTTGACTCTTTTCGAAGTATTTCCTTTCCAAATCAAGAGTAAATGAGGTGGGTGGCGGTAATCCTAGAGAACTTATTGGCTCACTTAGTTCATGAGCACCCTAAGAGGAAAACATACCAGTCAAACTCAGTGTGGCTGCGTCATGAGATCAACAACTAAATTTTGTGTCAGTCAATACCTCACACTGATTCTCGTACCACGAAGAAGTTTGTTCTCATTATGTCCCAAAGTTAATGACAAAGAGAGAAATCGATGAAAGAAGACCACTATCTTTTCCTTCTCTCAGTATAAGGTCACATTCCGTAGAGTTTTGTTTACACGGAACGAAAGATGACTGCATATATACAGCACAATGCATCGGATCGCCGCGTCATTGCAAATTTCACGAACAGTTTTCGTACACACAATAACACCTTGTTCATGGGCTGAGGATAGGGAGGAAGTTGGGTTCTGACTCATTCACGTGAATTATGCCACACGTGCACAAAATTTCGAGGTTCACACCGGGACTTGGAAGCTGAAAGGGAAAAGCGAGAATTCCAAAAGGCTGGATGCGTGCATAGAAATATGTAGCAGACAGACAATGCACGAGAATAGGCTGTTGGACGATGTCTAGCACAAGTTAATGGGATTGTGTGTTGAAGGGGTCCAGGGACCAGGTGGCTCGCAAAGTTCCTATACAACCTGGCGCGGGTGGCAGTCGCGTTGGACTGTGGGTCGATTGGGGATGACTGACTGGCTGCTGATCGTCGTCTTCACACCACCGTCTTGGTGGTGACCGTTGGTTAGATTCAATAACCTCCAATGGTTCGATATAGTTTTTGACTGGAGAACCAATACATTCACACAGTCGATTCGCGGAGTGATGCATTACCGGACCTCTATCTTTATTTGCAACGTGAGTGGGGCTGACTGAGTAAGAATGAGTGTAGACTGACTGGCTGATACTTTTGGAAGAAACAAAAGGTCGTGGCTGAATGGCGACAATGCGTCTACGAACCGGATACCAATCACCAGCGGTAGAGCGTTCAGGAAGGGCAACCGGAGATCTGGAACAGAATGGAGCGCGTGCTTTTTCTATGTTTTCACAGTGAGATCTTTTAGGGTATCCGTATTGTGATGAATAGGCACAGGCAGATCGCCGGCAATGCCTGCCGGATTGTGCCGCTGATTTCGCCATTGCCAAAGCACTTCTTTCCAATATGGCACGCGTGCTGGGTATTCGGCCAGGGCGGAAATTGACCTGTGAGTCTGAAAATGAAAAATATTTAGTAACCCAGATAAGGTGGAAAGTCTATCTGAGGAATAACAAGGAGTATATCCGATGGCAGTGTTAGTACCAAACTCCGAAACGTTTTATGAGATGACCCAAAGAATCATTTAGACACTGGGAAAAAACTGATTTCAAGAGGAAAAAGAGGATTTATTGTATACAACCGCCATTTAATTTAATTCCTATATGTATAATCACAAAGCAAAAGGGTAGTAATAACCCACGGATTCTGGTGGCTTTGAAAAATCAATAATGGTGGTTGAAATAACGTACTGACAGTTTGCTACTTCCAAGTCCAAGGTTCTTTCAGATCTCTAATCCGTGGTAGCACAATAAACAAATATTGTGGTATTTGGTGTGCCTACGGTTCAGGTTATTATCAAAGAACGAAGTGATCTTGAAACTGGAATCCCAAGTGATCTAGTGTGGATAGAGATTCCACAAATATTTAGATAAACACAGCGGGACGCATGTCGGAATTCATTTATTGTACAAGAAGCTTGATTGTTTCTAGGGAAAGAGGAGGTCATTGAAAGGCACGTATAAAACGATGGGGTGACCGGATCTCTACAAACCGTCTTGAGTGGATTCCCGGTTCCGATCAATCTCCCGAATCTGGTTATCTTTATTCTGATTGTTTGTCCCAGAACAAAGCAGTTTTCAGGGAGTCCATGGACTCCCCAACATGGGTATTAACTCCATATGCATAAATCTAACCACAGACTAAGCTTCAAACTAGATCGTAATGCAGATATTAATCCGGTCGAAGTTACTTCTATTCAGTGGAGAAATGCAACGATTGGATAAAGTAATTTCAAGGTTACCGCAAGCGTTCAGAAGAATCTACTGGAGAGAGCGAACTTGAAGCGTAAATCACCGGAACTTGTCTCTGGTTAATGGTCGTATAGGAATCCGATAGGTGGAAAGGAAAAAGGTCAGGTAACCAAAATCAAAATGAAGAAAATGATGTCCTTGCTTTGATAGGATATCGTACTTCGATATCAAGTATACAACTTAGAACCCTTCTGACAGTTGTCGTTGGTCGAGTGGTTAAGGTCACCGAAATACAGACCTGGTTGTCATGAGTTCGAACCGTTTCACCACCGTTCATCTTCATAATTCTGTATTTCCCCAGGCAGACTCTATGGCCGCGGCTCCTTTCTTGAAAATGGATTATATATTTATACGCTCAATAAACGAAACAAGAAAGGAAAAATCTTTAGTATTATCAACTAAGTCCACACTTTCGATTTACTTTGTAGGCAATCTCAGCGGCAAATCAATCTAATAAATTAGCCATGATAGTAGCTGAGCTACGTCCGATGATGCTGTTTGGCTTGCTCGAATAATGGAAGCAAAGGTGTGAGAGAAATGAGGTGTACTAATGGATCTAACAGAGCGGGAAATGGTAATGCAGTTTTTTCGACGTTTCGATCTCCTGCATTGGTTTTTAAAGTCAATACAGTTCCATTGTACTGAATTAAGAAGGATCTCCCAAGATCGATACATCATTATTATCATATTTTGGTTACGTATTATATGTGGATTTTAAGAATAAGTCTGATGAATAAATCATCAACACAATGTACGGGTTTGTGAGCGTGATGTATTACACCTATAACACATAATTCTACAATTCGGCGAAGCACTCAATGCATAACCGGACATTATAAATGAATAAGTGTTTGTTACAGGAAACTGGAGGAAGATTTGAGTTATCGGCATCAGTTCAGTTTTGACAACCGCTACTCATGCACTCCCGTGCAGTAGTTTTCGTTGCTGTCATATTCAATTCAGTTTGTAAAACCATTAACCATGCGCTTTTGTGCTTAGGTACAGGGCAATCGAAACGTGCTTGTGAATTATTGATGACTTCCGGGATTCGGTCCTCAGATAGGTCGACGGAATTGTGCTGTAGGTGAAACCCAGCCAGGTCACAACAACTCCACAAAGGGTGATAGATTGTCAGATCGTGGGTCACTCGTTATCTCACGAAAATGAATGGTGAGTAAAACTTCACCAGCGGTCATAATTTGACCTGTATAACCAGGAAAACGTCAGGAGAGACTACAACACAAACATATAACATCAGAGTGAATTCCAGCGCAGTCACTGATCTGAAAAGAATCCCACAAGCACTACTTCGGGGATAATTCAAAAGCATCAGTATGATTGAGAGTGTCTTGGGTTGTGGCCGGTCACTCTTCCTTTGCAACTCGTGAAATTCTCCTATACGACCAAGTGTCTCTCTAAAAGCTTTCACTGAAGAAGCCCTACTAACCGTCCTCACATGAAGGGGTGTTTCCCCATCAAGGTAAGGGAAAAGCAACATCCAGGATGAAAATGGGTTCTATGAATCAGTCACTTCACCTAGGGTTGATGATACAAAAAACCGATCCCAAACCAACCATGAAGGGGCGCACGGGCCAAACACACGTGCCTTCTTGTTTGCGGCAGTGTTCACAGGTTTGATTGAGCTTTTCCGAAGTCTGACTTCGTCCAAAGTGCGCATGATCTGATTAACCGGACACCGGCCCACAATGGATTGCAGTTTTTACACACACTCTCACTGCCTCGCGAGTCAGGCTTTTGTTATTCGAAAGTTACAGTAGTGAATTCCCACAAGAAAGTTCACAGGCTTTGGCCGAGGCAACCTGGTAATTTCCCGCCAATTAGTAACGCGTAGAGTCTTTTCCTTTGTTATAAACCGCGATTAGTTTGCCACACAGTTAGGACTTAGATGTGTGAAATATTACTATATTTTTCATATATTTTTACACACGTCTGAGGCCAGACTGTGCCAAACAAATCGCGGTGTAATCAGCTTCGTAGAAAGAAAAAAGATCCATGATTGGCATGTGGGCCAGATACTGCTAGGTTTCCCAAACCAAGGCAGGTGAATCTTCTTAGACAAGTCACAACCGGAGCCTTCGGTTAACCAAAGCCACAGGTAGTGGGGTGGTATGTGGAAACAATAATCCATTGGTTGCCGGTGTCCAATCCACCGGATCATACGCCCTTTGGATAGCATCAAATGTCCACGGTGCTCAATCGAGCTGGCGACCACTATCCCGACCAGGAAAGTGTGTGCGTGGTTCGTACGCCTGAAATAGAATCAGGGTTTTTGGCCAACTCACCTAGGTGAACTTCCAATGGTCCACCAACCCGGCTACAGCCCCAGATATAGGCTTTTCGTCCTCTCTCGTTGGTGGGAAAACACATCCGCCAGGAGAAGGCAGAGAGAGAGAGTAGGGCCTCCTCAGTAGAAGCTATTTGAGACGCCTGGTCGTGTTGGAACATTTCGCGAAGTTCAAGGGAGAGGTGACCAACCGCAACCCAAGACACCCTCACCCGACCATAGTGAGGTTTTCGAAGGCAATATAATGATAATAAGAGGCAAGGAAGAACAAGCGAGCACAGTGAAAAAAATAAATAAATAAATGAAGCTTTGTGCTGGTCGTAAAAGTTACTGATCAATGAAGAGCAAATGGTAAAAGGTGGTTGTTCTTTAGCGCACCAGGTGTTAATCACAGAGGGGAAAATATTGCAAATAAATGTCAGAAATGGAATAATTAATACAAGGATTAGGGATACCCTTCGCTTTAAAACTACCATTCACCTAGCACCAAAGTTTATCATGATCAAACTCCTAACGCTTATCATTTATTCTATAAATTTTCAATATAATGGATTCGAATGAGTGTATGCTTAAATGGAACAATATTCAGGCTCATTTCTGGTTGTCCGGAGGAAAAGTTTCAAACGCTTCTTTAAGTCACAACTTGGACCGATCAGATGTAGTATCCCAAACAAATTGAGTCAGAAGACCGTGAAATATAGTGCATGCCATAACCCTCCAAAGCGCAACGTCGACAATTTAACCAACTCATCCGGATAAACAGCTTTAATGGAGGGGGCAACTGTGAATACTATTAGAAGAACACAACGCGGATTATTAGGATAATGCAATGTTTGAAAAAGCGATTATAGGACCTAATCTTAACGGCAATAATGAGACAATACTTTATCAGTATGATTCTTAAAATGTAGTCTTTGGTTCATTGGAGCTGCTGTACTTTGAGGATGTTTGCGTGAATTTATGGTCGCGGTGTGTCCAAGAACTCCGAATTCGGAGGGTGTGATTGGTTAAACATATGCGTAGAATTAGTGCAGCTGTCTTTGGTGGTCCATACAATCGAAGAACCAGGAGAAGTTTCAGTAGAATACATCCACTAAAGCTTTTGCGTCAATCGTTTTTGTACAACCATGGTATGAAAAAACCAAGGCGATGGGTTACAATCGTTTTTAAAATAGACCGAAGACAGATCGTTGCGTTGCTGAAAATACTCCATCAGAAAGTGTAATAATTGAGCCGATGGGGTCTGACAGAGCAGAAAAGGTAAAACCGAGCGACAGTTGACGATAGCGTTAAAAAGATTTCATGGGTGAATGAATGAGATTACTCATTGCTTTCACGATTGAGAGAGCACATCTTTATCAAACATCCAATGAGACGGATAAGACAGAAACACAAATATACGACCAGTCATAGAGGTGTGCCTGTAAATGAATGTTGTTTTCAATTGGAAATGAATGACGCGCGAAGCCAGTTTGGTTTTCATCATTTCAGTGGTTAATATCAAAACAGTTATTTTTGGACAAGGAGCTTAGGAAAGTAGTTGGGGTGACCGCGGCCCAACATTAACACTTGTAATGAACACTTGTTAAAATTATAACTTCGACATTTTAGCTTCACTTGACATAGTGGTTAAAATCGATCTGAACCATCTCGGTGTTGATGTCCCAAATTTTACTAACCTGTGATGGCTTCCATGGTTGAACAACATCTTTGGATAGTAAATCAGGGTACGGGTCGGGATTTCACTTTGTTTATCCATCGATATTCTAGAAGCAGTTTTGTAATGCGTTTTCAAGACCTTCTGTATTCCATGAAAGCCTCTGCGTATACCTCAAAGTTTACAAGAAGACCGCATTAGCTGAGTAAAAGTTTCACTACTAGAGGGAGTATCTTACTGACTGGTTTTCAGAATCAGCACTACATCGGAAAACTTGCTAAACAAGCTTTGTGCATCAGTGTGAAGAAGGATTAAAACTCTCCTGCACAGAAAGCCGTATGTGAACCAAGTATTCAGTTGGATATCCAGTGGTTGGCAAACAGGGCTTTCGACAAGATGAACATTGTTAAAGTCGGGCCAATTCGGAGGGAGATAATGAGCTGGGGTTGAGAGAGAATGCGCGTTGGTGAAATTTCGCAATGTCTTAAGCGAGATATGTGACCCATCTATTCTATTTTTTCTTCATTATTTGCGTGGGTAACTTTTTGATTCCGAAAGGCACATATAAGAAGAAAATGTGCAATTAATATAGCCGGTGTATTAAGATAACAACATTGAAGAAGAGCACAGACGAATGTCTCGATCATAAATAAGTTAGATTACGGCAAACTACTGAAGGATCGAAAGTTTCAGTCACTCGAGGAGTTGGTGAGAATTATAACCTCAACGGGATAATAAGCGAGTATACATGCTATGCAGAAAAAGAAAACGTGCACAAACATGTCAAATCATTCAATTAGGAAGGAGGACACCAAGTGGTTATTAGGCGGCAACGAGGTGCGAAAAGGAAAGAACACAAGAACAAATAAATTGAAATAGACATAGGTTGACCTAAGATTGGTTGAAATCCAAAGCTGCGTCACGAGAGAAGCAAGTTTTCAATGTTTGATATAAAGTAAGATGAACAAATGATTCGTAGTTGCATAACTACAGTGAGGTTTATGTGCTTCAACAGAGTGAATAATTTTATTCCTTACTACTAGAACTGAGATGTCATTTTGTGTACACAGCGTTCATGAAAGAACAATAAACGTTCCCAGCGCGTAACTCGTGGTACGATCGGAAGTTGTAGTAAAGAACTAGTTTGTCTGACTTCGTGCCAAACGATCCAATCTATAATAACTAGAACAGCATCCTTTCTTGATATCTTAAACGACGCGGATGCTTCCAGATAATTACAGCACCACACTATTTCTTTACCAACTCACACCTTCACTAACGGAAACAAATGGAATCATGAAAGTAGTGAACCCTGGAATCGATGTTCGTTTCAGGGCCCCAAATTATTGTGACAACCTATCGACACTAATGTATCGAAAGGATTAACAAAAGGTAACCAAATGATTCATAAAAGCGGCGAGGGCAACTTTGCCGTCCTAAATAGTACCACTCATTTATTACACTTATTACGCAATAGCGAGTGATTAAATATGTATGTATGTTGTTTACGAAGGTTTATTCACAATAACCAAGGATGATGCGCATGAAGGCCTCTTACCTATGCTTGGAAGATGAGTATGAATATAATTCAAGAGAAATTTACACGCTTCAAGCGTGACCTTACTAGGTAGAACGGACGGTTTAAAAATAGCGAGAGTTAATCCTACACGATGAAACCAACTCAGTTAGAGGAGCTCTTCAATAGTTAGTTCAGGATTCTGTGCACGTCAAAGTAACATGCATCAGAGCAGAGCTCACCTGCCACGGTCTTTCTCTCAGCGGATGGTCGGCAAGGTTCACCGATGACAGACAACGCTTCTTCCTTCGTCCACTGTGGCGATGTACGGAGTAGGTTTGGCTCTTTGCAATCAAAGAGTTCGGGGTGGAAATCACATTCGTCAAACCCTCGGTTTTCGACATCCGCGTCTGGGCTGCGTCGAGAAGCATGTAACCGGTGCTCAGTTGATTGCTGCCGCTGAATTGATGAACCAAAAGCGCTCCCCGTCGGTGTAGTTGGATAGGTCGATTTTGATTGGATTTTATCGATAGGTTTATTGACGAAGCGAATGGTATCTGACCGCTTTTCTGGCGTTCGGTTCGCAGGTTCTGACACATCTGACGAAGAGTGAAGCAACTGGCACGACCCACTGGAGGTCGCAGCGCTGCAGTTGGTATAGGTTTGGTGGACAAGTTTGTTAAGTTGCTGATCATTGTTTTCAGAGTGTTCGGGGTAGGTGGAGTGTGTAGTCGAACTGGAGTGTAATCGAGCTGTGTGTCTGCAGATGACACGCGATCCGATGAACGTGAATCGTTCTCCCGAGTTTTGGATGACCGTGGTATTTGTTTGGGTATCTGAGTTCGTAATTTGGCAATTTTGTTGCCTTTCAGATACGGTTCTGAGTGGTGTTGGTCCAGGACGGGAGATGCGATGGCTTCGCATGATTCCGGGGGTTGTGGGGGTTGGGGCTGTTGTTTTGTTTGTTGATGTTCCGCATTGTCGTATGCTAATGCGGTTAGTCCGGATAGTGGAAATAAAACTTGTTCTGCGAAATGAAGAAAAGAGACGACCGAGTGAAACTTAAGTCCTTAATGAGCTCGCATGAACATAGCAGTGATGAAAGGGCAACATTCCATGGTAGAGCCAACAGACTGTTATCAGACATTGTGCTGATTGGCGCAACTAACTGCAACAGTACAAAATCCGGTCCATTTTTCCACGCGGATGGCAATGCGTTATTGATGTGTATCCAATTGTATTTGTATGAAAAGATTTCAGACGCCTTCTGGAACATCCTTGAAGTTATCATAATTGACCCTGAACTTCCTCTTTATGGCTCGGNGACTGAATCTGCGCACCAATTGCATCCAACTGGATGAGTAATGGATAGACTCGTTTGCATAATGCATCCTCAATCAAATGTTTAACTAAAGAAGTTTTACAGTTTCCAACCAAAGTGTATAACAGCACCAATAGTCTGACGATGTATAGAGTGATGCCCGCTTTTGTTTAAGACTCCCTCCACATCGTCCCCTTCCACCTCACCGTGGCTCTTATTACTAAACAATATATCCTTACAGCACCTCCTTTGATATATTTCAGACAAAAACACCAATGCTTACTCTAACCAATTCACTGCTGCACAAAACTGAGAAACACCCACATTTATTCACTTCAGTCAACTGTGGAATAATGCTTCAATCTTCCACCTCTTTCTGCTCGACTGAGTCTAACGTAAGAATATTGTCCTTATTACACATTCTTCCTAAAATTCTAACTCACATTAACTAGCTCGTCGGAGAGAAGACATTTTGTTGCTACTACCTTGGTTTCTGTCTATCCGAGGTTGACTTGTGTGACCCGATTTCTCCCACATTTCCGCGACGCGATCGGCCAGCATTATTAAGTGCTTGTATGCAAGTGTCGCATCGTTCCGAGCATTTTGTTCTCCAAAACATCCAAATCGTGGAGTAATCTTCTAATACAAAATATGCCCAAATGCACCTGAAGTTTTGTGTCTTAATATCCCTATATTACACATTACATATAAAATCGTCATTTTATCAATAGACTTTACTATAAAACAACTTTTTTAAAAAGGTAAGCATTAATTAGCAGTGTAGTAGCACAACTCTTTCTAATAACAGCCAAGGAAGCTTTAAAATAGAGGGGCGAGGGAGATCTAAAATAAACAGGCAAACGAACAACGGAAGAAAATATTTTCAAACTCAAATCGTTTGGAGTAAGAGACCGAACATAGAAAATTGGCAAAGATGTGTAGGATTTAGGAAAACAATTAAGATCAGAATGGCTTTGAGAAATAAACCATATTCCTGTTAGCCTGAAACGAACCCAATAACACTGCATAATGGCCCACAGTTTATTACACTATTCCTAGCAATTGTGGTTGAAATGCCCGCTCAAGACTCCTGAATTACACTTTTGATAAAATGTTCAGAAGTTATTCATCTTTCGAGTTCATTCTGATCCACATATAGACTAAGCCAACACTGATGATACCAAGCAACCCAAGCCATAATATTCCAAAATAGCAGCCAGTTTTCACAGCGAGAAAGTACATTGGACGGAAAAGATGAGAGAAATTCGAAATTTGTCTTATTAAAAGAAATGTGGACGAAGCGATGATCGTCTTCTGGGGCGTGGAAATGCATGGTTAATGGTTGTAAACACTGAACTGAATCCAGCTTCGGATAGAATACAGCTTTCTGTGTGGTGATAACTTAGCTGATGCAAAATGGAAAGTTCTCGAAAAACGTGACGCAAACACAACGAATAACTTACGTCGTCTCTCTAGTTGGTTCTGCGGCCATGACTGGCGCACTGAGTCGATTGACTTGGTGAGGCTGTAGTTGGCGTAAGACCCTGGATAGCGAAAGAAGATATGAAAATTTTGAAAGTTAGGTTTCAAAGTTGAATGATCTGTCAACGTTTACTATAAACAATGCAGTTGTCAGCTGACTGTGTATACGTCTTTCTATTACAAAATCAGTGCAAGAAAGTGCTGCTTTCATGGATGGGCTAAAAGAACTAATGTCATTTAAGCACTGATTAACGGTTCAAAACCCATCAGCCATTCTCTGAGCATTCGAGAGTAAACATTAAAATGACATATAACATTAAAATTTCATATGCAAAAGCGCCGTCTGTATTTTGCACTGATCGTCAAAATGATTCACTTTGATTACGTGTAGATTTTACCTAGAAACATTGATGTTAACGTGACGAAGTTAATTTTCATTGATACACCATTACACCAAAGTAATGATGTTATGTTTTCTAGGACACTGCGATTCACTGGCCGTATTTCCAATAAATTAAAGTGGATGTGCTTCTCATCAAGCCGTTCGTTTTCATTACTGAAAAAAATCCATTTCACTGGATATTTCAGTTACATAGTGGCCAAATGGCTGACATTTAGACATAGGTAACAAAACTTCAATGCTTATATTTTGGTGTTTTACGTGTCTTCATCCTGAATGTGCCTAAAAATCGCAGTACAATAATTTTTATAATAAAAAAACGTCCATGGTTTGCTAGTGAAGGGTGCTACTATCAGGTTGTCCGGGTCGATCCAGTAGAAGGTTCTTCCAGTTTGTATAATATCAAACTAGTTTCGATGCACATCAAAGGACTGCACATTATCTCTTGCGAATTATGATGAAAAACACAGTACCTGAAAGAAAGCACAATTATGTAATAATCGGAATAGTATTTAATTTAGGAATACGAGAATCCGTACCGTACTGCTCAGAACTGAATTGGCTCCAACCCGAACTACGGGCACCAATGAAATACACGAGGAATTGATAGCAGCAAATGCTTATCTTTATTGATAGAATTAGAGCATGTTTTATAGAACGTAATAGCTCATACGATTGGTTGAAGGGCCGTCGTCCAATTACGTAACCGTTTGCGCCGACGCATCATATGTACTAACTCGGATGTCACGTTCGCCCAGTGTACCACTGATCGAGCTTCCTGAACGGCGATAGGATGACATGAAACTGTCGTCGTGCATGGATTGCGGTCACGGAAGTCTGGATCACCACATATTCATCTATGGCTCACGTAGCGTGGAGGATTATTACATATTCAGACGGTGAATGTTTGGATTACAAACATTACCACCGATTACTGCATATCTTATGTCATAATGAAAGAGTATGCTGATCGATCAGGACGCAGATTAAGTATATTAACAGCACAGAGAAAACCAATCGCATTGATTTCTTGCAAGTAACGCTCGGATTTCACTTTGAGGCATTGGGCGATCGCAATGATATGATAAAGCCGGTACTCAACCTTTTCGGAACTTATTGATTAGGGTACACGCTAAGAAAATTCTTTGATGGACCCCCTAGATGTTTCTTCACAAAGGATGGAATCAGTTGGGCAATCGACAAAGACCTTGAGTACAAGAGTACGGACTAGTAAATTGGTGTATATGACCGTAATGCAACCAATGTGAATCGGCTTGATTTGCGACTAGAAACTGAAATTGTAATGCTNTGCTTCCTTTATAGTGCGTCAAGTAAAAGTTCCAAAATTTCCACAAGATATAAGGTGAGTGAATGGTAAGAAGGTTGGTCTTACAAGGGTTTTCAGGAACAAAATTTCCGGTTGATCCCATTTATTTAAATTGCGCCTTAAAGATAACGCTTCGATATTCCATAGATCTTAAGAACGCAACACGGATGAAGTGTCGGCGCGTGTACAGAAGCCTCGTTTGGCATTTGACAGATATTTGTGGCGCCGTCGAGACATCCGACTGTATGTGAAGGGTCAAGTATAATCTGCAGTAGTTCGGCCAGTCCNCTACGGTGCAGAGACTTGGCCACTACGGGAACAGAATAAAAATAGATTGTCGGTGCTCGAACACCGCTGTCTACGTCGCATTGCACGAGTTTCATGGGGTAACCAGATTAGCAATGCTGAGGTTAGACGTAAAGCTTTAGGCAGTCACGGTCGTCCAATGGAGCAAGTGATCGAGCTCCATGGATTACGTTAGTTGGGACATATGTTACGCATGCCACCAAATAGGTTGCGACGGCGAGCAATGTTTACCGAGACAGGCAGTGGTTGGAAAAGGATCAAGGGCGATCAAAAGAAGACCTGGCATGAGGGTATGAAAACCCTAACCATAAGACTAGGCCAAATGGTCCTGTGTTGGTCAACAGATTTTATTTTTACTTTCCTTCTGTAGCATTTATAAACTTCATCGTGAATCATAAAATGTTACTTACGTTTGTAACATATTCAGTAATCCTAAGAAATAGATGCCGCAAAACAGAGGTTCAATTTAACTAACCTGTTTTCTCCGGTGGTCGGCGACCTGAAACGGAGCATAAAAATAGAAATTAACTGGAAGTTACAGTGTTAAACGAGGACCTCAACTTCAACAAAGAAAAACTACTCACTGAACAAAACAGTTGAGATGGGGAACAAGTTGGATACCCTGATTATTTATTCTTAACTCTGGGAAAAGAGATCGAACGTGTGTATACCCTCTGGGTGTGCTACATTTCCACACAGTCTTTAGGGGCAGGTCTTGAAAAGAAACTACGTGGAAATAAAGGACAATTAGCAACGTATTACGGTAACCTCATTACAGATTTATTACTCTAAAGCCAGAAAAACATATATGAGTAGATTTTTGTGCACTGCGCAATAATCGAGTAAACNNAGTAAACGACGCCGATAAGAATACGACATTCGGTGAAACGCTGAAAGCAAATTAGCTTTATCGCTCCATTACTGAAAAGGATAGCTGGAACGAATGCCATGATGATTACAGTTTATGTAGACATCGTTTTACAATCCGAATAATTCAGATTTTGAACTGATCAACTATTTTCGATTGCCGATGGGGTTGTCGTCATTGATATGCGTCGTTCTTCTTTGACTTCAGGGTGAATGGGTGAATGATTGAGAGTTTATGGACGGTAGCTGCACCACCAAATTATACATGGATGGTCACAACAGGGCAAAAGTTGTCAAAACCTGTCTCCAGGACCACCACCACAAAGGGGTGAAGATGAACTGCAATCGTCTCGACCGTTGACAAATCGTAGACTGCACTACTTTGGATCCACCTCCTTTGAAACTAATCAGAGGACGGAACGCCTCACACACAGTGATTGTGTGATCAGACCAAGCGAGATGATAGGTAACTGCCGTAGCTAGGTCACTGTAAAACCTCGATTCAACCAGCTAGAGTGCTCCTTAATGCGAGCGGATAGAACCTTCACCTTTCGACCTACGTAGCTCGCACAACAGGAGCAGAGAATCGATAAACGCAAAACAAGGAAGCATCCGAAGTATCAGTTGTGAATGCGTGGACGCGAGGAGAATGTCGAGTTCAGATGCACACTGCGTGTAACTGATGAACGACGGAATTTGTCTATTCAATGTTTTTGCGGTCGTAACTTCCCCTAATGGGAGAAAGATATTAACGGGCTTTTCTGCAGTTGCGCATAATGATCGACGTGGACGTGTCACCGATTCAGGGTGTCCATGTTCTAGATAGACATTATGGATTCTTTTGAGCGCAGCTTCAACCGATTTCAAAGAGCAAAGCTCTATAAAACTACCGAATCTGCAATGAATCAGATTTTTCCCATGTTGCATTGGGACTACACTTGAGCGCTTTGTTCTGCCCGGTCGATGCATTCTTGTGATGAATTTCTACACGAATTGACCCAAATGGGAATGGGGACAACAAAACGCCTGGAAATCCGAGGCCCACTGCGGACGCTTTTCTCAGAGTGAAGTCTATTTTCGAATGGGTTCTATCAAAGTTTATCAGTAGAATATTGGTACCCTGATCA